TGTAAATGTTTATGAAAATTAATAAAATATAATTATAGAAAGAAAAAAAAAATGGGGCACTCCTTGGAGGCAAGGATTCCGGGGCTCCGTCTAACATACTTTGGACATGTTGTAAGGAAGGACATCATGCTTGGTAGGGTGGAGGGACAGTGCAGGAGGGGAAGGCCCTTCTAAGAGGTGGATTGATTCAGTGACTGGGGTAATCAGGATGAGGTATCGGAGACGGTGCCTTTGGCACAGGACAGAGCAGAGTTTAGGGCTGTTGTACATAGATAGGGTCGCTATGAGTCGCAAGTGACTCGATGGCACATAACAACAACAACAACAACAACAACGTGCTGTCAAGTTGCTTGCAACTGATAATGACCCTTTGTACACTAGCCCTGAAACCTGCTCTATCTTGTGCCAACCTTACTGTCTCTGACACACTTACTTGCTGAGAAAGAAGGTGAGGAAGCAGGAGCAAAAATGAGAATAAAGGCATTTTGTTAGCAAAGGCTTGCTCCAGAGAGGAGCAGAGCACTCTCTGCAGATGGGAAAGTGTTGGAGAGGGTGACTTGCTGAGAGGTGTTAGGTGCTTATATAGCCAGTCTATTTCCTTCTGGGTTGGGCTTTATGCAGAGCAGGTGAGTGGTGTTCGTGCTGCTGGAATGGTGGTGTTGGAATTTCCCATTCCATTTTGTGATGTTACGGATTTTGTGTTATGGCATGCCTATTCAGATGCTATTTAGGATGCGTTGTGGATAATGCTTACTGTGCATGTCGGTTTCGGAGGCACTGGCATCTTCTTTATATGGTAACGCAATGGACATCTCTTGCTCCGGTTGGCTAAAGACTAGCCTTTGTCCTTCACTGGAGCCTTTAACTAATATGGACTCAGCATGTGCTCAAATAGCTTGGCAAAATTTCAGCAGAAATTTCAAGATGCTTTATGATTTTAACTTTACCTTTGACTCACCTTCTTTCTGCCTCACATTATTTAAGAGCTATTTTACGCCATACCATGGACTGCCAAGAGAACAAATAGGTCTGTTCTGGAGGGGGTGAAACCATGCTACTCAGATTGGCTCAGGATAGGGCAGGGTTCTGAGCTGTTGTGCATAGGGTTGCTGTGAGTGGTAGGCAACTCGATAGTACATAATAACATTAGCACCAACTCCTGACACCGTCACTTTTTTCCTCTACACAGAAAGAGACCAGTAATTGTATCTGTATGGCATCTCACAAGTGTTTAAGATACCAGATGTTACTCACCAAACTAGAATGTGAACCAATTATCTTTATAAATTCGGCTGTGCCTGCTAACCCAGTTGCCCCTTGAGGTTATTTTTCTGAGTCTTCAAACCCAGTGAATTAGTCCCACAAGATGCTTCGGTATGTTTAGGAAATATACATATATGTGCTTTATTATAAATATGAATGTATGTGCAGCATGTACAGACATGTAGGTACAGGTGCACACAAGTATATGCACAGGCATCCACTCCCATATACTTTCCCACACCTGCATAGCCTACCTGTTTGCCTACACAACCATTCACATAATGTTTCCATGTTATTACTGTTGTTGCAAGTTGTATATGTAATAGCATTTATTCTTTTTATTAATTATTTTTGTGTGTGTGTGTACCGTCAAATCAGATCTGGTACAGGAAGAGAT